GAGTAGCACATTAGCTGCCATTAGATAGCTGGTATCAGCGTTTTCTGTTACAACCTTTAAAAAACACTGCAGAGTCCAATCAAAGTTCTGATGAGATAATAATAATAATAATGCTATGATGTCATAACTGAATAAACTCATCATAGGAAAATATTTAAAAGTTAGCTAAATATCTACTGAATTAAACTTTCTTTACAAATACATGTAATATTAGAAGCAGCATCAAGGGTTTGCAGTCAAAATGATTCAGTTTTGATTTGACACAAGATTGAAAGAACTATCTTCACATGTTGTTGTTTTTATAAGCTAATATCCCCCACAACACGCTAGAGAGACGTTTTACAGCAGTCAATGAATATCTTTTTCCTAAAGTGGACATCATTGTTCTCCACAGCATGTCCTCCGGCCTCAAACGTTGGAGCGTCTCCTGTCAAAACTGGAGCTCGCACTCATTCCAACACACTCCATATGGATTTCCTGCAGGAGGAAAAGACGACTTGTCCACAAGGCAAAAGTGATGGTGATCAGGATGCTCGGCCTGCGCTTAGTGCTCCTAATGGCCTTTGGCACGTTTCACTGCGCCCAAAGGAAAGCCACCAATCAGAGCCTGGAGTCTCCAACACAGCTGTCAATCACTGCCAGTGACACGTTGACAATCAAACCGTCTGATCTAAACGTCCTATGAGCTGTTTCAGAGGCATGTTTCAGCTACTGATGAGCAGTAAAACATGTTGGGACAGAAAGCAGTCGAGCCAGGACGTGTCTCCTTGTGGACGTGTAGATTATGTCTCGTGTTCTACAGTCAAGAGACAGTGAGACGTTTCATCGAAGTCACTAAATGTTGCTTTAAAGCCGTCATCACAAAGACATAGTTTCACTTTGTGTGTTTGTCTTGAAGGACACGCTACATCCAGACGGAGGAAGATGAAGCAGGTAAACGGCTACAAATAGAACACAATGAAGCTGAGTAACACACACACACTGAAACACAGAGCATCTCACCAATGGTGAAGCTGAAGCGTCCGTGCAGAAAGTAGCACTGCCGCCCTTTTTAAACGCCTGTTTGTTGGACGTTGGTCGTGTCGTTGGGCTCCTGATGTGCACGGTGTCCCTCAGTGGGTGAGGGGGGGCCGTTCTCTCTGTGCTGCTGTGGACGGGTGTTCAGGGTCAACGCCGCCCTTTTCCTCTTTGCTCTTCGCCCCTCGAGGCTCTAACAACTCTGATCTGCTCCATTGAGACACTTTCATGTCTGATATTTATATTTACTGTGAATTAGTTTCCTCTGCTGCTCCGTCACACACAGCGTTTCTATTTGAAATGAGAAGCAAACCAAAGCGTGATAGTTAAACACCCGACAGTCAAGAAGCGTATTCAAATGTTTCAGAGCAGCTGACGTCATCGAGGCAGCTGCTGTCCCATGAAATGAGCGTCCTCTGTTGTCCCCGTGAGTCAGGACCCCCGAGTCTGTTCTCCCCAGAACGCAAGTCCGTCCTCTGCGTCCCATCGTTGAGAAAGGGCCCCACGTTGGGAGGTTAATACGAGCAGCGTGGAGATCAGGACCTTCAGCTGCTTCCACGTGTCGTCCAGTCAACAGGGGACACGAGGACAGAGGTCCCTCATGATGCAGCTGTGGACAGTCTTCTCGTATGTTTCTGTTGCTGCTTATTACCCGTCCATGACCAGCCGTTCTCCTGAAGCTTCCCCTGGACCGAGGCGCTAATGGAACCACTGAGCTCCACCACCGGGGCTCCCTGAAGACCTTTACTGGTGCTCTGAGTTCTCTCCGTTCTTCCTGCTGCAGGAACGTCTCCGCGCCCCTCAGCTGCTGTTCATACAGCTGTCAATCATGTTGAATGACACGTGAATGAAGGCGGCACGATGCAGCGCGCTGAGGCCATGCAGAGAAGCTCAAGTAGCGGTGAGCCTTGTAGTGACGTCATTGTCTTAACTCAGGTAGTGACGTGATGTCCCCTGTCAATCACAGGTCAGTGGAGCCACGATAATGAAGTAACTGTTGTTCTTTGGTGACTAAAGAGCCTCTCTTGTTCACAACAACGGGTTCAGTCATCGAGCAGCAGCACATGTGGGATTAGTTCACTTCCTGCTTGTAGTTCACTGAGAACGTCAGCGCCTCTGAACACGATGGACTAACATCTGGAGGGACAACGTCCCCTTGCTGGACATCAACACGAGTTCCCTCGTTGTCCTCTTACAGGACGTTGTCCCACACACGTCTCTGGTTTACTTCAGTGTGTTGTGTTCTAGTGTCTTTTAAACACTTAAAACGCACTTATGTGACGTCACAGAACTAACCGGTGGCTCTGTGGGCCACAGCGCCCCCACGTGGGCAAACCAAGCAGCTGCTTATAAGCGCTCAGCCTGACGGTGACGTGTGCTGCAGAACTCTGTTCAGAAAGGGTTGAATTAAACAAACGCTGCTGCCTAACCGGCCCAAACATCACCACTAACATCAAGTAGAAGAGCCTTTGTGAACCACGCGGAGCTCATCTGTTATTCGGCAACACGAAATCACCTGAAGAACCAACGTGTCTGATAACAATCCCACTCTGAGCCCTTTGGACATGTTGTCTCATCAGGAGACCGTAGCGGTTTATCGGCTCTCACGTTGAACTAACTTACATCCGGAAGACGTTTACAGCAACACGAGCCTTCGGAGTCTTTTCGCTTCCGTTTCTGTGTGTTTCTCCTCCATATTCCGGTGAACGGAGCTGCTAAAACGAGATGTTTCTACAAGGAGGTCTGGTG